GGATCAAACCACGATCAAACTGGCAATGAATTGATGAGTTTCATGGATGATCTGATGTCTTTATGAAATATACTATATACAAAATCTGAGTTGATGTGTATGCTCTACTATGAATATTGTAATTATATTTAATATAATGGAAATGAAGCAAACGTCCGCAAATCAAAGCTTTGAATTATATACATATTCACCTCAGATTTCTAACTACCACATACATTATTATATGTATTGTAATTGATCATAGATCATGGAATGGGTTTGAACATTGTCGTTCACAAACCGAAATAGAAAACATTGTTTTGTTTCTGGTGGTAAATCGCGTAAATTATCACTTTGTATACTCAACAATACCAGTGTAACGGTGAGTATATAACATTTTATATTTTATCAATATAGAGGAAACAGGTGGTCGACTGGGTAGAAATACTTTTTCATTTCTATTTCACATTTATCGAGGTAACTTGAAATCGAATGAAATAAATGAGACGAAATATCTGACAAGAAATCTACAACACCAACACCTTGATGGATGTTTTGTGCTGTATATACTGATAAGAATTGATATCGAGGAACATTTTCTTCAGTGTAGTTACAGTACCAATACGGTAGAGGTAGATAATGCAAATAAGGAATTTTAGCTAGAGAAAAGTCAATTTATTCGGTGAATAATAATACAATAGAGTTGATAATTATAATCGTAGTTATATATAGGCATTCGAGTTGAAGGGTGCCTTAGCCCTATAGGTAATATATTATGGGAGTCCATATTTCGAACTAAATTGTGGGGATATCGGTTATTCCAAGAGGTACGAGTATGAAATTCTAAGCAACTCTTCCAAATTGTTTTTTTATATCATGCCTCTAATAATTCCACTCGCTGCCACACTTCAACTTGCCGCTAATATTTCAGTGCATGATTACGTAAAATGTGTCGCAATCTTTATATCGTTTATTTTCGGGTACACACCATCGATCATTCACAATTTTTTCCAACTCTGTGTACCTATCTATTCTTGTTTTCAATATTCGCATCGCAGGAAAATAAATCCCTATTACCTCTATGGTAGGTAGTGGAAGATCATGCGATAACCTGAAGAGGAAAGAGGGAGAAAGTAGGTAGGGGTAGTCGGGGGAATGGTGGCCACAGGGGTAATAGCAGTTACCCAATAGTTTGCCACTCTCTGTTAGTTAAGCCATCGTTAATCTATGGTTAAGCCAAAAGTATTGGTTTTTCCATCTACAAATAAATATTTCAACTAGTCGTGGATAAATGAACTGAATACAGTGGAACTGTTTTCACTATTTATTTCATTTGCTACACAGTCGTCGATTGTAACAAATGTCTATAAGTATATAACGCGTGAGATTTGATTTTGATGAATACGAACATTTTGAGAAACTCAAAAATCTCTCTGTGATATACATTATACTGATACTCCATAAACAATAAGTAGCTCTAGTAACAAGTTTTTTGTATGAATGTCGATTGAAATAAGAAATGTTTGTTTGGGTTATGGTGACCAGTCGTTTCATTACCCCATCGCCGAATGAAACATTATGCTGTGCATTAGAACATTTTCCAGATGCCAAGAATTCATCGTAGGCTGAAAAAGCATCTTGGACTGATAACAGAACGACAAAAATAATATACGTTTATTTGGTTGAAATGCAGTATCTGTGGCAATTGGGAGCATAAATCGTGTGCTGATATACTGAAAAGAAAATTTGTAGGTGTGAAAATTGCATTTGAATAACTCATTTAAAATTTTGCGGCCATTGTGGTCATCTGCCACTATTACCCTAACTATCTGGTGTAATGGTAGCCATCCATTTTGTTATTTTGATTTTGTGAAAAATATGTGGAAAATTGTGAAAAAAATGTTCGTTTTTTTTTCAAATATTCAACAAATTTTTATCAAAAGGAATATCATGTCTATTTTTTGTTCTCTCGTTTTTGTGATCAATTGCCATAATATAATCTAACTTATAGAAAAAGATGCTCAGGGGGCCACCATTTCCCCGCTCTCCCCTATTGATAAAATTCTTGTAACTTGTGGAGATTGAAATTCCATGGGGAAACTGTGTTAGGTGGAGAATTTATAGCCATCCTATAGACAAACGAGTTTTGGTAGAGACTTGTTCGCAAAATCTCGAGATTGACGATAAATGAATGTGATTCATTTGATTTCTGCCATTTCACTGCATACAAGGGTAAACCGAATAGCTACACAAGCTGTTGGCGGTGTAGATAAAGTATATATAATTTTAAAATTTATGAATGAAAATAATTAACAGTGAGTATACCTATGAAAATGTGATACAAATAATTGTGTATAGAAATATATGAATCTTCAAAGTTTCATTTCAACTGAGGGAAAAATATTGTGGCGTCTCAGATTATTTATGAGAATAACTTAATCAATGAGACTATGAATGGATGTTCTTGATGGTAATGAATAAATCCACTTTTTTAGGTTTTGCTTGAATTCATGGACCTTTGTAATATCCTCATGATTTCAGGCGGTAGAAATTGGTAGATTTTTAGACCTAGGCGATACAAGCTTCTGTGACCCTTTGTTATGCGTCTAAGGGGAATTATGTAAGTTGGATTTTTGTTTCTGGTGTCATACTGATGATCTGAGGTTTTTATAAAATACTGCTGGAGGTTGAGCAATATCGTATATCATTTAAGTTTACATGATACAATATTATTACTACACGTTTATTGATCGTTATGTGTCCCTCGGCTTATTATCTCTGTTCCTGGTGTGATAATCATATCTGTACTGCCACGTTGTATCAAAAATTATCTTGAATTATGTTGAATATCAGTGGAAACCAAAAAAGACGATGCGACTCATCTGCTCGGCATGTCTGCGGTGTTCTGATATCCTCTCTAAGGGCCAACGTCCTCGTCCTAAAAAAATAATTAACTCCAGACACACAGAAAATCCGTATCCTGCCCATCGGATAAATCTTTGTTCTGGCGCAGGATTCCGCAACCGTCGATCCACCCCCTAGATTTGAATGGTATAAAAAGATCAAAATCACCTAGTGCCGCCACTCCCTCGCCGTCGGTATTGGGCGCCAGACGACGCCTCTAGTGACGTCGATGTCGAGCAAATGCGTCGGACTGCCCCTTAACCTCCAATAATATCGAAATTAATAATTAGAATCGGAGAAAGACGTATATTTTAAGAAGCGCCGCTCTTGTCCTCCTGTTGGGCTCCTGGGTCTTTGGCGCGCGAGTATTTCTCATCCTCAGCAGGTCCAGTGTATCGCAGGCGGCGTAAATATAAACAAGGAGTGGGGGAAAGCGCGTCGCTCCCATGAGCGGCGCAGCAGGATTCATGGAACGGAGAAATTTTAAACATCAGGACGAAATCAAACAGTATAAACGACAGGAGTTTCAGAGAAGATGGAAATTGAGTCAGGAGTTTCTCAAGTATCTGTGTTGGGACTTAATCAGTTTGTTCTTCGTGTTAACCCTTAACTACTAATCATACGTCCCAGAGACGGCATCGCATCATTCGATTCGTCTAATGACCTCTCTCTCAATATCGGCCATTGTCCTTCCAGGTAATTTATCACTAGCAAAACTCATTCAGTAGCCTGAAGTTGATTAACGTGAGTGGTTCAGTTTTCAAAACATCTTGAGTGGAAGATCGATTATGCCGTCTCCTAGACGCCTTGTGATTTTTTCAAGTTTTCATGTTTTTGACTGAGTTTTTTGCTATGTTTCAGTTCAACTCTCACTGAATCCATCAGTATGAACTCATCGATAATTTTATATTTTTATCATTTTGATTTTTTTACAGTTTTTCAATAGGTCATGTCAAAATGCTTAATATTCGAACTCCTGTATGGATTCTTGATCTTCACTTACATTGATATTCTTATTGCATTTCTGAATCACATTCTCAGTTCACTAAATATATGAAGAAGATGAATTATGAACGATATAAAAATGTAAATATACAGATGAGTTAGTATTAACGACCTTGCGAAGATGATTTATTGTGTGATGAGATGAATTTCTTTAGATGACACCACCATACTGTGGGACAATCATAGCGAATATAATATAGGTAATCCATTCCAAAGATTAAAAAATATATATCTCAACACGCTGATATACCTTCATATCTGAAATCCATTTCTAAGAAGTAAATCAGATCCGATGTTTGGTCACGAAATGTTTTCTGATGAATACACTTCCATTTATTAATGCATACCCACCTCATGTTTTATATCTGTCTGATGAACTGTGCATTCAAGAAACACAGTCAACCACCGTCGGAATAGTAGGTAGGTTAAACAACATGACCAGTGACCAAAATTGTATCCTCATCAGATAATGTCCTGGCTATGTTGATGATATTCTTCAATACGACGATATATTTCATATTTCTTCCACTAGGAACTAGCAATGTTTTTCAATCATCATACTCCTGTGAAACTGAAGAGAGTTCTCTGAAATCGCATATTTTTCATTCTTGGGGAAATATTGGTAAGCATGACTGTATAATTCTAGTAAAAATGTTGAAAAACAATACATATTTTTCATCAGGTCCCAGTTTTGTATGATCACTCGGGAGTGTGTCTGAAATTATCTATATTCGATGTAGTTTTTGCCCGACAAATAAGAGTCACAATTTTTTAACGCTGTGTCATAGTAACAGTTGGCTTTATCTACGAACCACTAGTTTTAATGAATTTGGAAGAAACCTAAATTGGTAGTGGTGGGAAAATGAACGCATAATGTCCTCATGATTCAGCTTCTATTTTTTTTCATGTTCTGGTTCCCACGAAAAGGGATAATGTTCAGAGAACAGAAAGAAGTCATCATTTGTCATGTCTTCCTGTTCTCTGAACATTACAGGATATCCCTTTTTGTGGGAACCAGAACATAAAAAAAAATATTTGCCATACAGATATACTCCAAATTGAATAAACATATAAACATAACATAATAAATAAATAATGGATTTCCACTTCATTCACTCCACAAGTGAGCTGGGGCAGAAGGAACGGCTGGGGCAGCGTGCACATACTGGGCTGCACGTACTGGAGCAAGCATGAGCAAGTGAGGCAGAATATACCTTCTGTACTGGGGCAGAGTATACATTCAGTACTGGGGCAGAGTATACATTCTCTACTGGGGCAGAGTGTGCAGCTGGAGCTGGGTAACCTGATGGAGTTTCATACTTCTCCACGACTGTGTTGAACATGTCGTGGTTACCAGCGGAATAGTGGACAGTACGAAGGATGCTATCGGGATCAGCTACGGAGCAGTAGCTCTTCACAGAGTCACCATCACGTTGTTGGTATTTGGGGTGAGCCTCTTGTTGATAAAAAAGAATATAAGCATCCCCACTGACGAGAGAGTTCGACGAAATTGAAGACACCAGGGAATCATTGTACTCGTGCCAAATTTTCGTATATAGATGTCTGCGGTAGGCTGTGTAATGTCCGCTGTAGGTGGTACCGCTGTGGTTTGAGATAGCGTACAGATTGTAAGGACATGGTACGATGTCTTCAGCTGCATAGGTGCTCATGTTCAAGCCGATCAAGGAGAAGTCGACAATTGTTTTTAGTTTCTCACTGAACTCTACAGTCTGCGAGAAACGTTTCAGATGTATAACTAGAATGTTGGGGAACTTGTGTATAAATAATGACTTCAAACATTTTCTAGAATGTGAGGAAACATTCATTCATGATGGAAAATACAACTCCACCTCAAATATTACACCCATATATACACATTCAAAATTGAAATCCTGAAAAATATGAAATGATTGTCTTCAATTACCAATATCAGTTACACTGAACTATAGTCTTGCTTCTAAAAAATGACCGCAGGAAGGTATGTGAGCCGAGAGCACAATATAAATGTTGCGAATATCAACTCACTGTCAACTTAAAAATGGAGTCTCAAGCGCTCGCTAGGAATCATGGTATCAATTATTCAGAAGTGCAGTCAGTCATATCGTTCATGACCTGATCAAAACGACGTCATCTGCAATACCTAATTGTTCAGATATATTCTAGGCTCCTAGGCACAGTTGGAAGAATACAAATATTTTGTATTCTTTCAACTGTGTCCTAGGACTGATCGCCTTCATTCTCTCCTTTTCGTCCTAGGAATTCTTCGGAGAGTCGAGCTATAGTTGTTGTTGTTCCCCAGCAACTTTATTTCACTAGAGTTGGTATAAAAATCCCATATATCTATCATTCAATAATCCAAGTATTTTCTTTCAATAGAAAGAACAAATTATCAAGTTTATATATGCAATGGAAAATATGAACTAGTTATAAGCTATAGTGGTAGACCAATTTATATTTTTCCAACCACTTTCTGAATATACTAAAAATGTCATGCTATTTCAATGTGAGGAAATATTCATTCATGATGGAAAATGCAACTCCACCTCAAATATTACACCCATATTTACGCATTCAAAATTGAAATCCTGAAGACAACACCTTTCAATATGATAATGGTAATAATAATATTTGTCTGTATTTGATATCAGATGCATCACAGCAGTCAGAAGTACCATAATACTAGTGTTGTAAGTCACTGAACTCTGACACAGGTTGAGGGGGTCATTTACTGACCCTTTCCTGAGTTCTTGGATAACCAGGTCACAGATAAATATGCTCCAAATGTGACTACCAGTGGTTAAAAACGAATCCTATTTTTTTTGGCATTCACTCTCCACCTAGTGAAGTAGTTTTGTACGATCTATGTAAAGTCCTGGAAATACGTGTCTTTGTTTATCTAATGCAAGCTAAAGAAAATGCGGAGGCCTGATTTGTGTACTTCAATCATTCAAACTTCACTTGCTTATCGGTATCACTCAAATCAGAAGCATTGAAGATAATTGGGAGATTTGTACCTATGGCCTAGCAAAATATTTTGGGGACGACTCTGGTCACTCGGCTCTGCAATGCCGTCGCAGGAATGAATCCTTTGTTTCCTGTTTCGTTCTGTTTCGTCCTGTTTCGCCTTTGCTACGCTCTTGGCGGTGTTCGTTCAACGAAAATTGTTATTAATTACCTACCGACAATCCACAGATCTACTAACAGCCTTTCAAGAAACGGAATCATGATTCATGTAGTTTATTCACAACCGATTTGAATAAAAAATTTACTAACATGAACAGGATATCTATAACATATACGAGGCTTATGGTAACAATAGTTTGTGTAATGAATACCTAGCGTTTCATCGATATTTTTTATCAATCAAGTGACTCACGTTAGACCTAACAACAAACTGTCGCAGTACCTGCATACTGTATCGTTATACCTACTTGAAATGTGAAAGAATAATTGAGAATTGACAGAACATCAATCAGGTGCCGATGTGACATGTTGAATGCATTGCGAGAAGTGATTTTCACATCAAATCGACGAATAAAGTAGCAAGGGGGACAAATCAGCTCCACTGATGGAATATTTAAATCTATTCTTGATCAGTTAGAATGCTTTTATTTGACAATAATCCAATTTTTTTTAGTTTTTTTAGTTTTTAGTTTTTTTAGTTTTAATCTTCTCCTGAAGATGCTAACATAGTTAGCGAAACACGTGTCGAGGCGTTAATAAATCGGTTTGGTTAGTGGTAAAACAGTGTAGTGAATAATCTAAATATTTGAAAATCTGATAGTCATGTGCATGATCTCGTCGTAATATTCTTAGTTCGGTTTCAGACATGGGAAGAAAACATCGGAATCAATTTTTTTTCTAATGGACGTCATACAGGAGGTATACGAAAGTAAAAATTCTTGCTTTATTGTTTTTGCTGTTTTCGAAAATGACTGAATCGAAAGTGTCTAATAGTCCTTCGCAGAAATAATGTCTAATGCTCAGACCAGGCGATTTTTATATTTCTACTCATCCTTCTTAATGATATATTAATGTATACAGGGTAGCCCAAACAGAAGTTACCGTAAAGCTCATTTTGTTGTTGTTTGAATTTTGCATCGAAGTTTCTTCGATGAACCATGTCCTATATCAGAACTCAATGATTCACGATGGAATATATCAATTGAGGAAGACCGAAATTATGAAGATACCTTTTTATGAATCGAGCAGAATATTCCATTGTGTGTTTACCATGGTTTTTTGTAAATTTTGGCTGAAGAGGACTTATATCAAATGGTCTCCTAGCCAGTCATATTTCCGATGGACTCCTTGTGTAGGTACCTCGAATAGAAAGTAATTGTTGATAACCAGAACAATCTGAAGAGTTGAAAGAGAGGATCCTAAGAGAAGTGCGTGCCATTACTCCAAAAATATAGGATAACGTGCAGAGAGGGTTCATTGATCGCCTTGTATATTGTCAAGCCGTGAATGAGTGAATGGCAAACAATTTCAATATTTGATTTGACTTGTTCTGTTCTTTTACCAAATCGGTCTTCACTCATTGATATGTTCAATCTTTCATTTCGAAGACTGTGCACGGAGAGAAACAATCTTGTAAAATTCGGGTAAATAATGTTGGTTATTTTATTACCAACGTAATTTACCTGAATTTCACCATCAGTTCTGTAAAATGCGATTCCGGTACCAGTTCTGTAATTTTATTCCATTACGCATACCTCAGTTTTACAATGTAATTTTCATGATTATATTATTAATTTTTGCAATGTGAATATCCTTATCTGCATGTGAGACTTTTGCGATATGATTTTCATTATTATGTTATTTCACAGAGGATATAATTCAACTATAATAATAAATCATTCAGATTTTACTTCATTCATCAGTGGAATCATGTTCGAACAAAGTATGTAAGTAAATAAAATATTCAAGTGGAAAATCAGTTTTATTTCAAAGAATAATATGTTTATGTTAGGTCATGTGAACACGGGGATGCTGTTAAGTTCTGAAAATAGTTCCACTGTTGCGGTTCTTCTTCGAAGTACATTCTTCGACAAGATTATCTGTTACATGTTGCAAAATATGATTCGTGGAATGTTTACATCTTTATCAATCATATCTGAACATAAATCACATAGCAAATGATCATAGAACCTGGTTGGGAAGCCAAACTTGCTGGATGGTTCCTGTCGTAATTTGTGTCAACCATGCTCACAGTTGACGTGCATAAATATTTGGCACTCGAGTTTCGTCTATGCAAACACTAGTGAATATTATATTTGTTTATAGTTGTACATTTGAAATCACACGTCTCACAGATATATGCATGCCTTATACCTCTCGAGACTCTGTAAAAACCAATTTATTTTCACCTACTTCCACTGTTAATTAATAAATCACTTATACTTTACTAGACAATGAACACTCAAACATCGCTTGATGTAAAAAGAAGCAGCTTGCAGAATGGAATCAGTGCGCGGACATTTTTGAGCTATCGCGAAAGATTCCAGAACGGGTACCCAAATTTCACAGAACTTCTGCATATTCACCTTTTCTTGAAGGAAATACTCATTATGATAGATATTCGCAGGGTACTTCCATAGAATGACGAGGTATTATTCATTCGTGCTCAGATGATTCCCTTGCGTAAAGTGAAAAAACGTAATAAATATCTGAAAAGTATCTACCAACAAATATACATTCTAGTGGCAAATGTGCTTAATTTAGTGTAAAAGCATGACGGATACCTAATTCAATATTTTACAAAAAGTTTACTGTTTTTTTTTCACTCATTTTTATCAGTGTGTAACTTATTTTTGGGCTACCCTGTATACATAAATGTACCATCGAAAAATCGCAACAAAAAATGAAAAATCGACGGGTCCGAGCGTTTTTTCAAGAAATTAACCACTCAATTTTAATTGAATTCAGGCATTATTTGAAATCTTCGTGATTTATTTTCATTCAGGAACCCTCGAAAAAGTATGATACTCCTTATTTTAATGTTCCTGTTCCAGAACCCCCTTTACGATGCGGTTTCCTGATGGGGAAATGAATTCAAAAATGAAAGGTCGTGTGCGGTGTATGTGAGAGTGAAATCTGAAATTATAGCTACGAATGGGGCTCAAGCAAACTAACAATAAATCAGTCGATGCATTGTAGAGGAGCAACCTCTATAAATGCAGGCCTAAATCACGGTCTGACAACCAGATACTAGGAGGGATTTAACTTTAAGAACGGTTGCCTATCTTCGGGAGCGCCGAGGTCTTAACTCTTCCAAGTCAACATCTTAAATATAAGTAGGTTTGCAGATATAGAATGAGGACTGAATAGGAAGAATGTTTCCTCGTCTGAAGTCTCTAATCTAGCTCATTTTCATAATATATTGACTCATTAGGATTGGTGAATGTTAATAAGTAAAAGTAATACTTTAATGAATACTTCAGATGAGATTGAAATATGGAGAAACGAACAAATGATCGTAGGACGAGGAGGAGAGACAGATGATGGCAACATTAATGATTCTCAAACTTCCTATATGCTGTTGTTTGATTGGTATAGGTACACAGCAATATCATTGTTCAGATCTATACAAATACTTATACAAAATGCAACTAATATTCAAAATGTTTGTAGTGCGTACACAATTCTTCTGTGGACTTTATATACC